CAGAGGAAGAAATTCATAATGGTTTCAAAAAGCGATGATATTGACTTTAATTACTTTAAGAAACGAAATAAAGCTGACAAACTACAATCTAATTTGTTCACATACGCTTGCTCAACAATGTAATTATGCAGGCACTGTTGATTGTTAACTAATGATATGTGCATACCTTTGTAAATATTCACATGTAACATCACTTATCTTGTCTCTTTGTACAATTTATGGAAGTACTGAGCCAACAATAGCAGTAAGAGATGAATGATTTAGTGCTTTTTTAATCAAATAAAATGTCTGTTTTAGGAGACTTTTGAGACCCTAAAGGGAGATAAATGTTTCTGGAATGATTGTAATGATGGCATTGCTGTCATTGCGTATGGTGGGTTTATAATTAGTAGCTTTATTATAATTGGTGACGTCTACCAAAACATTTGCAGGCTAAACGATAAAAAAAATAATTCAGCCCTCGACAAGCGCATTTGAAGATAATTACTGTTAAATGTTTAATCTGTCTGCGGGGAGTTTCTAGCCAAGCTGACACAAACGAGTAGAATTAGAAAATTTTGCAAAGTTGCTTTTAAAGCAAACTTCCAGACACTCAAGACTCAAACTTCAGACTCAAGTGCACCAATAAGACAAAAAGAGTAACATTTTAAACTTTTTAAAAATAAAAATCAAAAATACTCTCAAACTTCTTTTTAACTTATGGACACTCCTAATTTGTGTAAAAAAAAAAAAAAAAAAAAAAAAAAAACGGGCTGAGGTGATGTTGGAAATTCGTAATTTGGAGTGATGTGCACATGACTAAGAAACTGTTTTGTTAGGAAGTAAAAGGGAAACAGAAATGTCCATTGTCCATTTTATTTAGATCAAAACAACATGTAGTCATGGGTTTACATCTTGCACACCTTGTAAACCTTGTTTACATATAGCCCACAAGACAAAAAAATATTAACTGAATTACTTTTTATTACTTTTGCTTATTACTTAAGCTTCCCACAACTCTTTCAGTCTTTATTTAAAAAAAAAAAAAAAAAAAATCACACAAGTTAGAGTTTGCAACAAGCGATTTTTAAACACACTGAGGCTGTAAAAGCAGAATATTGAGTAGATGAGTTTACCCGTTCGGCGTGATGACATTTCAAAGAGGCCATATTATGCATATATTATATTATTACAAAGTTTTGATTTTGTTTTCGGGCTCTACAAGAATAGGTTTTCATGCTTTCATGCCACTCTTACGCATTTCAGGTGTGATGTGACACAGAAAAATGTTGGGAATAAACTGTTCAGGAACAGTTAAAAATAGGCATAGTTCACCCAAAAATGAAAATGATCCATGGATTTACTCACTTTCAAGCCATCCAGGTATATAATACTTTCTCCTTTCAGACGAAACATCAGAGTTATATTAAAGGGGTGGTGAAATGCTATTTTCACAAGATGTAAAATAAAACTCTGATGTCTCCAGAGAGTGTGTGTGTGAAGTTTCACCATGTAACATGTTAAAGTTGTCACTTTTTGAGGGTTTGCAAAAACGCACCGTTTTGTGCCTGGCCCTTTAAATGCAAATGAGCTCCTGCAGAGGGCGAGTGTGTTAGCAGCTGCGATTTCCTCATGTAGACACACTAAAATGACAGAAACTGTTCTCCCTTTAATTTTTAAAACGGAGTCAGTCAAAAATGGAGAGACTCAAGAAGAAGTGACAACATGTAGAATACAATAGGACATCTCTGAATGGTTAGTTGATGAATTTATATTGCAGATGTGGAGCTAACTATCTTCAATTAGGATATTCTGTCATGTAATGTATAAATCACTCGTAGATGCACACACAGAGTGACTTTCTATTGGATGTGAAAAGATGGATGCTAATAGGTCTTCTTTTATGTCCCTAGAATACATTGTAGTTCCGATTGGCCACTTGTTAAAAAACACATTTTTCAAGGCAACTAAAAGTTTAAAAAAAAAATCTCAAGGTGGTTTTATGTATTTTATGAAAATATATAATTCTTGTGTTGAGGCATCAAACTAAAAACCTATTCAAACCCATTGAGTACCCAAAAGTGGTACAATGTTAACTCATTTCTGGGTTTTGGCCAACAAAAACACTTCATATCTGCAGCAGTATATTATTCCACGTCCAATCTCAGAGACGTTCATTCCAGTATACTGGTGTTCATGTTTGGAGAGACTGCATTAGAGGCCTGAGCTGTTCAAGGACATGTACTCCAGTAGCTGGGGAGGACATTGTGTGATGGTATTCTAGTGAGCAGAGCTAAACACATATGGGCTAAAAGTGATGATGTCTGCTGTGCTGCTGGAGCCTTCTGGGGCCTGTAGCTACATGCTGACAGGCCTCGTCAGGAGTGTTTAGTCAAAGGTTGCACCATGTTTTTTACGGGTGACATTAGAAAAGATGACATTTTAATCTCTGGAATTGCCAAAGGGCCCCACAATCCACCAGCCTCCTAACATGCTGAGAGAGTCAGGACCAATGAATGACTTTCTTAAGCTTGGAGTGGGGGACGTGCACGTCTTTGTGGTAACAAATATGTGTGTGCTTACTTTGTGTGTGACAAACAACATTTAAGGGAGTCTTAGGGCCCTATCATTCACTCTGCACAATGCAGCACCAGGCGCGACATAAGTGTTTTTTGCTAGTTTCAGCCTGACGCAGTTATCATTTTCACGTGGTTTAAATAGCAAATGCATTTGCGCCCATGGACGTGCTGGTCTGAAAACGAGGTGTTTTCAGGCACATTGTTGGAGTGTTGCTATTTTGAGGCAATTGAAGTAGACTGTGCCATTGACTTTAGACCAGGTTTTTGTTGGTCAGGGGCGCACTTTATTTCAGTTATTTAAAGGGCACATTAGTATAGTCGTATAGTATAGTCGAGTGCACGACACACGACACACAGGGACGCCCAGCAGCACACAGACATGCCAAATATTAAAAAATAAAAGGATTACAATGTAAAAGATTATTATTGTATAGGGGGGCGTGGGGCAAAACCTAACGCGGGGTTAAATGTAACACGGACGTTTTACATAGTTCGTCAGGATCAAGCAGGCTGTCTTTCTACTCTTTTTCTCTCGCTGCCAGAAGACGGTCTCACACGAATTTGCGGAAAGTTTTGATTATATTTCGTGAAGATACTGGACAAAGAGTGTTTTGACACCATGAAAGTAATTTTGTTCATCATAGTTTTTTTCTTTTCGGTTTCTGAGTTGGGTGTGTATGTTTCCAAATCTAACTTTATATTGCCTTAATCACTGTCTTGTTGGCTCAAACATAGCACCGTTTTGAAACATGTCAGCAATTCGTAGCAACTGTTAGCTTGGCTTAAAATATGTAATACACAGCGGGGTTAGTACTAACAAAGTGTTACAACTAAGCCGCCAAGTGTACAATGATAATCAAATGAAAACGGAGCCACACAACTTTTCAGGTTTGAGTATACTTTTAACTTTGTTGGACGTTCATAAACAATGTTGGAATTTAAAATGTTTAAACTTTAGTGTAATATGAATGATAACTTGTTTATTTATTAAAAATATGACCTGTTTTTAATGCAAAAAACACTTTAAATTTTTATTTTAAGCTCATTTGTATTATTATGACTGTTATTATTATTATTAATAATATACTGTTGTTATTATTATTAATAATACTAATTGTACATGCAGCTGCCACACACAAATCTAATTTAATTGCTATTACAATATTTTATCATTTTATTTATTATTATTTATCGCAAAACTGTGCAGCCCTTTTCTATGTCTCTATCCATGATATTGATCCACAATAGAAGGATGATTGGATGTATGGATATCTGTCTATACAGATGCACAAACAATATCAAACTATTCAAATAAAATAGTACTGAATTATGTGTGTTACACACAAGTGTTACAAC